CTAAACCACTGCACACTGCGACCTCTGACAGCCTCTTTCACGACACCATTTATAATACTCTGCCCCAAGGTGAATTGAAGAAAACCATAAGACCAGCGAACTTAACACATTATAACCAATCAAGGACGATGACGTCACATCACAGACGAAGATTCCACCACGCTCGAAAATATCGAGTCCCGCTACTCCATCAACCCAAGTCTGAACATTCTTAGTTCGATTGCCTTTCTTCCGTCGGAAGTAAAAATACCGAATCTCTTAACCATGCACTGAGTAAACCTCTTTTCAAGTCATTCACTGCCCCGAGACATAGGCAAGTATCCTACCATCACATCAATACTATGCGATAACAACTCATGAGCATCATAGCAACTTGTGCATAGCCTCAAAGCTCTCAGAAGTACAGTTACTGAGCTGAAATGACGAAATATCCTTCCACAAGGCGACGACAATAGCCCAATCAAATACGCAGGGAGAAACATCTCGCACCACATCTGTAGTGCCATTACAATTCCTCAATTCTCGATCGATAGCAAGCGCTTCACGTTGCATAAGATTGAATAGGAAAGAAACGAAGGCATAAGCCTCAAAGGAATCAAATCGCATGATGAGAATCAGGAAGGGAAGTGCTCCAAACAGCCCTGTAGCCTCTCAAAGATAAGTACAGACATCTCCGTACCGATCCGCAAGACTCTACTAGACTCGCTCATGACTCATGAGACCTAAGTGAACCTAGGGCTCTGATACCATGTTGTCACGACCCAAAATCCGTTAAAGGTCGTGATGGCACCGGATACCACTGTCAGGCAAGCCAACACTAAATATTTAGTTAAATTCTCATTTTAATATTTTTGAAATCGTAAATTTACTTCAATTTATCGAGTAAAAGATGAATTTACAGAATAAATAGCAATATTTTCCAATTTCAATACTGAACATCCTATAATCATCCTAGAACCCGGTGTCACAAGTGCATGAGCATTTTTTAGGAATTTAAAATAAAATACAATAACTGTCCGGAATACAAATTTTGGACAGGAAAGAAAATACAATACCCTGAAGGGGACTCTGCTGGCTGCGGGTCGTACATAAGATGCAGCTCACCTAAATCCCCGTAATAACCGTGCCTCTGCGCCTACAAGGCCACTAGTCATAAATGTACCTGCACAAAACGTGCAACAAGTGTAGTATCAGTACGTAAATCAATGCGTACCCAGTAAGTAGTGACGAGGGGTCGACTTCAACACTTACTGTGGCCATCAATAATATAATTAGTCATGGATTTATTAAAAACGGCAGTAAACTCAAGGAAATCATGAATCAAGTAAACAATTCCTTTGTTAATAAGAGGTTTCCAAATTCACATTTCATCATTTATCAATTTATCTCACACCAGGGAGGCAATATCATTATTTATATATTTCAAGGCAAGCAATACAAGCATGCGCAAATCATGTTGATGTCGTACGGCCCGATCCAACAAATATTTAAATTGTGCACTGCCAGAGGGTCGAATGGCGCGAACCATAGATGCATCTATTTAATCTGCCGAGGCGAACGGCCCGCTCCCATGAGAGTAGTAGGAAATACCCCGCTCGCGAATCATACGTGCGACGCGGTCAAACATAAATTTAGGGATCACCCCGCTCGTGGATCATACTTACGACGCGGTCAAATATAAATTTAACATTAAAATCATATATCTTTCTTGATTCTTTTCAAAATAAGGGAAATTCAGCTTGTAGCTTTTTAAGGAAATTATCCCGCTCGCGAAACATACATGCGATGCGGTTATACATTGATTTCTTCAGCTATTATATTATTCCTCAATTCTTTTCGAAATTACGAAGTTCAAATGAAACCTTTTAAATCTTAAGTTTTTCAATTTCAACTCCTTTCAAAACATTTAATAAGCAGACTAAATCTCGCTCCCTCTCAAGGCAAACAATAAATATAAATCAATAACAATATCAACAAGGCATGATGTGAGCCTAAAACTACACGGACGTAGGCATAGCTAGTAGCACGTACGGACTCTCGTCAACTCGTGCGTAAGTAGCCCCCACAAATAGAAGCACACAATAATTTAATTCACCTATGGGGTTAATTCCCTCTTACAAGGTTAGAAAGGAGACTTATCTCGCTCTGTAGTTCCATAACCGGCTCCCAAGGCCTTCCGACAACTCAAACCGACGCCCAACGCTCCGAAACTAGTCACAAATTGAGAAATTCCTTAAATATATACTCAAATACTCATTATAATCCTATTTACAATAATTCCCAACTTCGTTCGATAAAAACCACTCTCTGGCCCATGTGCCCGGATTCCGAAAGTTTTCGTAAATAAACTTCACCCATAACCCCACGAACTTGATTATATCATTTATTCCAAATTCCGTATCTAATTTCGTGGTAAAAAAATCCAAAAATACAAATTTTAGGTTTTTCTTCAAAACCCCAAATTTCTACAAATTTTCATGCCCAAATCAAACCTTGTATGTAATTCACAACTAGTAGAAATCACTTACCTCATGCTTGATGATGAAATCCCCTCTTCAAAAACTCCAAAAATCGCCCAAGCTGTGTGAAAAATGGGTGAAATGAACTCAAACCCCGCTTTTAATACATTCTGCCCAGCCCAGGTCCGCCCTTCTTCGCGATCGCGAGAGTGCCTTCGCGATCGCGATCACGAAGGCTAAGCACATTGCCTCTGCATTTTCCTCTACACGACCGCACACAAGCCCATGCGAATGCGACGTTCTGTAACCCAACACTTCGCGATCGCACTCCTCCTCATGTGATCGCGATGAGCAAATGCATAGCATCAGGCCATTTCACATTCCTTCTTCGCGAATGCATTACCACAGCCGCGTTCGCGTAGCACAACTACTCACCGCACCGCGATGGCAGGTCTATCATCGCGACCGCATAGCACATTTCACAGTCGCCCCCAAACAACTCTACTCGATCGCGGACTTCCACTCGCGAACGCGTATAAGGAAACCAGCAACAATCATGACAGCAACTTCAGCAAATCCCTCAAGTCAAATTTCAATCCGTTAACCATCCAAATTCCACCCGAGGCCCTCGGTACCTCCACCAATCATACCAGCACATCCCAAAATACATTACGAACTTAGTCGAGCCTTTAATTCACGTCCAACAACATCGAAACTTCGAATCACCCTCCAATTCAAACTCAATAAACTTTGAGACTTCAACTTCTACAATCGATGTTGAAACCTATCAAATCACGTCTGATTGACCTCAAAATTTGCACACAAGTCACAATTGACATTACGGACCTACTCAACTTTCGAAATCAGATTTTGACCCCGATATCAAAAAGTCCACTTCCGGTCAAACTTCTCAAAATTATCCAAATTTTCAACTTTCGCCAAATGACCCCAAAATGACCTACGGACCTCCAAATTCACTTCCGGTCGCGCTCCCAATACCAGAATCACCATACGGAGCTATCCCCAGACTTGGAATCCCAAACGGACATTGATAACTAGGGGTGTTCAAAATCGAACCGAAATCGAAAATCGAACCGAAATTGAAGCTTAATGGCTTATTGGTATCGGTTCAACGGTTTAACGGACGGGGAACGGATTGAAATTTTTTTATTAACGGCTTATCGGTTTGGGGGCGGATTATTCAATTTTCTTAACGGATAATCTGTTAACCCGTTAAGTGTGTGTGTGTGTGTGTGTGTGTGTATATATATATATATAAAATAATNTCAACAAACAATCCGATAAACCGTCCGATAACCGCCCGATAAGTGCAAAACCGATACTAATCCGCCCAATATCTTATCGGGTGGCTAGCGGATTAATACATTTAAAAGTCGATAACCGATAAGCCAAACCGTTAAGAGTATATAACCGCCCAATTAGCCNGGTGGCTAGCGGATTAATACATTTAAAAGTCGATAACCGATAAGCCAAACCGTTAAGAGTATATAACCGCCCAATCCGCCCGATAAGCAGCCCTATTGATAACATTGAAATGCACTTCAACTCAAATTAATAAAATTCTTTCAAAATGCTAACTTCCGCAATAGGTGCGGAAACGCTCCCGGGGCATCCAAAACCTGATCCGAACATACGCCCTGGTCCGAAATCATCATACGAACCTGCTGGAACCTTCAAATCTCGATTCTGAGGCCGTTTACTCTACAATCCAATCTTAGTTAATTCTTCCAACTTAAAGCTTTCGAAATGAGAATTATCTTTCCGATCCAACTCCGAACTTCCCGAATTCAATTCCGACCATACGCACAAGTCATAATACCTGAAGTGAAACTGCTCATGGCCTCCAACCGACGAACGACACGCTAGACCTCAAAACAACCGGTCGGGTCGTTACATTCGCCTTAAGATTAGCTGCATATTCGTTGTCTAGAGATGGATCTTGTGTGCCCAAAACGCCGGTAAAATTGTATAAACGTGTTGAAAATGACGAGCAATGAGAAACTCCAATAATATGTGCACTTAATAACAAATTGTTCATAGTAATAATGATTCTTGTTAAGAAAGACTTATTAAATATATGGAAAAACTTAATATAGAAGAAGTAGAAATATGTCCTAATTTAAACTTACCAGACAATAGGACCAAATCTTTTAGGTCAAGATCTTTGCTAGCAAAAGATGTCTTTAGACTGGAAAAGTTACTAGTTGGAGGAGGGATGTTTGCCAAAGCTTCGGACGCGTTTGATATTCTTCCATCTCTTCTACCAGTTGGAACATTCCAGAAACGACCTCCCTGTCAAGCAAAGATATAAAGGGAGGCGATGAGATTAAGAACATATGTCATCTAATTTAGCCCTTGCATACTTACTAGAACTAGTTACTTCGGATTTTTATTAGTGGATTGAAGTATAACTTCAGCTCTATTTATTGGTCTGAGAAAGATGCGACATAAGCAAATATGGTCCGACAAGTTGGAACCAATTAAAAAGTAGGTTCAAGTTTTGTACTTACCGTGACCACGACGGAGTCTCTAGAAACTAAGGCAACAATATCTGCACAAGAGACTACTCCAGGCATTCAGCTTCAACTGCTTTCTTCACGTCATCAATGAATGAGAAGCCTCTCAGTGTTTGATTAGGAATAGCCACCTTTTCAGTTTGGTTTTTCGTGCTCGAAGTGAAATTCAGAAGCACAGATGCATCACAACCCTGTAAAATCCCAAATGAAGATTAAAAAAAAATAATTACACTTATGGCAGTGAAGGGTAACCTAGGCGCAACTGGTAAAGTTGTTGTCACGTGATCAGGAGGTCATGGGTTCGAGCCGTGTTGCAGAAATATAGGGTAAGGCTGCGTACAATAGAACCTTGTGGTCCGACCCTTACCCGGACCCCGCATATAATGGGAGCTTAGTCCACTGGGCTGCCGTCAAGAATGGCAGTAACTATTGAGTAAATATAGAGCTTGCATATATGTGAAAAACTTACCCTGACAAAACAATCGTGGAACTGCAGTATGAGCAAGGCAGCTGCAAGAGATGGAGCATTTGGGATGTGCTTTTGGACATAATCTTGAATTATCTTCTCTGCTTTTGGACAGCTCTTTGCATAAAAGTTGAGCTGTAACTGAGCATGGCTAGAAGTCACTATTCCTAGTAGAATACAGAACAGTAGAAAATTACCCAAATAGCCAAAGTTAGCCATTTTGCTTACAAGTTTTTTGCAACTTTGAACTGAAAGAGGTCTCCTCCTTTGTTCGACTTGCTACACACACATCTAATCCAATTGGATCAGACAGAATTTATAGGCACATTTTTTTAGCTAACTTGCGTTAGTTTGTCATTTTCCATCTTTTTTAGTAGTACATAAAAAATAGATTCGTTATAGACTGTCTCTTTCATTTAGTTAGATTCAAATTTACTTACCAACCTCTCACATATATATTAGACACTTAAACTAATCTTCTTTTTCAAAATCACTGATAATAATCATGGTTATTAGTACCTGCTCCTGAAGATACAGCCACCTTCATAATGGTGCATGGGAGTTCCAAGTTCTTATGATAATAGGTAGTAACACCTGCTATAATAGTTGACATTTATACAAGTTGATACCTATTCATATCCTTGTCATGGGCGGAGCAAGAAACCCGAATAAGGGTTCGACCGAACCCATTAACTTTTGCTGAAACAACGTATTTGTGTTAAGAAATTCATTAAATATGATTAAATATTAAATTTAGAACTCAGTTATTAGCACGTGAAGTCGTTGTTCTAAAATCTAGAACCTTTAACGTTTAAATTCTAGCTTCGCCTCTGGCTCTCGTTAAATTAATAGAGGGAAAAGTGGCTTGCTAATTGTTTTTTCTATGTACTAAGAGATAATATAAGATAGTATTTGGTATTAGTAGCCCAATGTGGGGATTAAAATTTGTAATATTAGTTCGAAGTCAAAATATAGAAAAAGTTTGGATTTTTGTACAAAAAGTTGGAGCCCGTCAGTATTAAAGCTAACAACTTCACCAGAAACCACCAACCTCATATTAATGTACTTTCTTTGTGATATATCAAATTATATTAATCTCCCATGATTAGGTGATAATTTAAGGTGACCTTTTGTATTAGTTAACTAGTACATGATTTAGTGATAATTATTTTGTGAAGAAATACGTTATGTATTTATTAGATTGGTACAAATATCTAGTGTTGATAAGTTTTTATTGATAAGATTTTAGAGTTCACTACAATTGACACTAATAGTTACAGAATCTAACGGAAGAAACAAATAAATAAGAGAAAACTACCCTCTATAGCCCCTCAAAATTTTAATAGTCCATGATTTCTTCCATGGACCCGAAATGTTCCTCCGGCCTAAACATATTACATCTAATAGCCCATAAATAATCCATAATACACTGACCCACCCACGTCTTTTAACTCACATTTTTTTTCCTATTGCACTCGGTCCTCTCGAAACACCGGTTTCTTCTAAAAAACACAGCTTCTCCATTTTTACTCTTGCTCTCCAAATTCTATGAAATTAGCTGGTAAATTAGTGAAATATAATCTTAGTTTCAGTAGGAATGATGTTCTAATGATATAACTCTGACTTATGTGCGCTTAGTTTATTTTAGTATGTAGAAAATTTATCCAATATAGCAGTTATGTTCCAGATTTGTATATAAAATGTATCATTCTTTTTTATATTGTATATTATTTGTATCAAGTCAATAAGTAATGTGCAATTTGTATATAAAGTGTATCATCTATCCACATAAATAACAACAACGACCTAGTGAAATTTCACTAGTGGGGTGTGGGGAGGGTAGTGTGTACGCAGACCTTACCCCTACCCCGAGGGAGTAGAGAGGCTATTTTTGAAAGACCCTCGGCTTAAGAAGACGAAAAGAGACAATCATAGTATATTAAGCTATGTATACGTAAAGAGACAATCATCTATCCACATAGTGTATACGTAATGTTTAAAGTGCATATTTGTGGTTGTTATTAAGCTTATATATATTTATATTTTTGTATTATCTGCAGTTTTGGGATTACTATGTTCCCTTGGGTGATCATTATAATACTCGTATCAGTGTGCATACAAACTGCAGTATAGTGAAATATTTGAAAGATACTTTGGATGATCAGCATATTGAGATGTTTAGAAAAATATGTTTTGGTTATTTTGTGGAGTTGGCCGAATTTTTTTATACAGAACCAATTTATCCATTCACTATTGCTTACAGAAGTGGTGTCACCTAAAGATGATGAGTTATGGATTAAAGTGAATGACACCAAATTGCGCTTTCGACTTGCAGAGTTTTGTATTATCACGGGTTTAAAGTGTAATGGTGATCCCAATAGGGATTATAAATCTGTCCAGTCGAGTCGGTTGATGGAATTGTACTTTCCAAGCATGTCGAAAGTGTCTAAGAAATTGTTAACTGACTGTTTCTTAAAAAGATGTGAAAATCTGATGAGGACGCATTAAAGATTGCAGTATTATATTTCATTCACAGTTTTCTATTTTCTATTACGAATGATGATTTCATAACAAAGAATGATTTTATGTTGGTTGAATCTGGTGATTTTGAGATTTTCCCTTGGGAAAAAGTGGTTTTCAATACTACGTTGGAGTCAATGAAAGATAAGGTTCGTAATAGAAGAGAGATGTGCCGATATGGTGGTTTGTCTTTGGCATTTCAGTGTTGGTTTTATGAATGTTGCCCCTATACTCGCAAAAACCTTGCTTACAGGATTGGAGATCTTATGCCACGCATACTAAACTGGACCGTAAAGAAGAAGGTGACCTTCAAGAGGTTGAGGAAAGAATTTTTTTCTTTTAAGTCGGGAGCAGGTAAAAAATATTTTTGTTTAATTTACAATATTTTGTAGCAATACACATGAATTTACTTCTGATACATAAATTAAGCATTTCTGATACATAAATTATACATTTCTTATACACATTTTATACCTTTAATATACAAAATATCAATTAACTGTATGATGTGTAGTTTCTACAAGTAATATATTGGTTGTCTTTTGTTATTTTAAAATTTCATGATTGCTAATTTTTTTTTGATTTGTAGTTGGTTTTTGGTAACATTGCCCCAACAAATGTTGAAAAAACAAGGCTTGAATTGCATGATTTTGTCCCGGTGTATGAAGATAAAATTGAGATGTATATCGAATCTGGAGTCGTGGCTGAAGTTAATCCAAGAGATGATGTTGATGATTTCAACACTCTACCTAAAAGCAATGCTAAGAAGCACCCCAATACTAAGCTTGAATCACAACCTATAAACAATGAGAACCTGGATCCACAACCCAGTAACTTGAGTTCAAGCGAGAATGAGCTGAAACTTCTGAGAAATGAAATCAACAAGGTACAGTTCTATTTTGGCTTTGAGCAGTTCTGACATCTTAATTGATATTCGGTTTCACTTTTTCTTTTATAGGTAAATAACACGGTTTCATCTTTGGAGCAGTTAATGATTTCCTCATTTGAAAAAGTTTTTAAAGCTCTAGGTGAACGCGATGCTTCAAAGGTATTCTTATGACTATACTTATTTGTTATTTTTACCTGTTATTATAATTTTTACAACTTTTTATATATCTTTCCTGAACAGGGTGATAGGAAAGATGGCGACCATCATGATAGTCATGGCTGACCTATTACGCACAATACATACCTCAAAACAAGGTATGAATCGGTCGATTGCAATTATAGTAACCCAACGAAGATTCGGGATCGAATTCACATGGAGCTATTTGGGAGTTAGGAGTATATATTTTAATGCGTGACTTTGAACTATCTTAATTTACACTTCCACAAATTGGTTTTGTTTTTATTGCTATTTTAAAACTAAGATTGCAAAATTAAGAAATAAGACTAGGATAATTATTTTTGTTGTTTTTCAAGTTTGTAAAAAGCCTAGGGCTATGACCATCGCCTAGGTGTTCGCCTAATGGGATATAAACCTTAGTGCTTGTTTTGTTGATCGGGGGTGTATTATAGCTATCAACTCTCAATTACCCACTCAGTACCTCTCGGTCAAGGGGTAGTTTTGCCCAATATGGCTTTCTCAAGTCTAAATGGGTATCACACAAAATAATTGATAAAAGCTCAAGTCAGGTTATTACTATCTCTAGGTTGAACTGTTTAATTGGGTTAACCAATCTCTCGATTGACCTAATTTCTTGTTAGCCAAGTTTTCCTAGACTAAGTCTCTCTTTCTCAAGTAGAGACTAAGTCAATTAGGCATAAACTAATATTTACAACCATTAATTCCACAAACTAAAGCATGAACAAGGCTAAATAATAAATACTCAATCATAAACAAGCACTAAATTAGATACTCATAAGGTTTACACACTAAGGTTGGGTCACAACCCTAGTAAAAATCTAGCTACTCATGCTTGAAATTGAAGAAATTAAAGAAGAAAAACTAATTAAACTCATATTGTAAAGTTAAAATGATAAAATTTATAGTAAAATACTCCAAAATATAGAAAACTTCAAAAAGAAGAAACGAAAAACGGCTAAAGGACTTGTTGATGTTAAAAGTTAGACTAATTTTGTGAAACTCGTCTATTTATACAAGGGTAGAAATTTAGGACAAAAATACCCTTTGGGAGGTTCTGCGGCCACACAATTCCATGTGCGGTCCGCAGAATACTTCATCTTGCAGGAGCTGGGAATCTGCGGCCTCATAATTCTCAATTGCGGCCGCGAGGCAATGTTTCTGCGGTCCGCATATTTATCACTGCGGCCGCAATTTGGTCTTTTGCGGTCTGCATCTTTACTTCTGCGGATGCAATCTGGTCTTCTGCAGTCTGCATCTTTACTTCTGCGGCCGCACAATTCTTATGCGGTCCGCAATTTTAAGGGACTTGGACTTTGCAAATTTTGCGACCCTCTGAAGTTGATCTCGAGCTCGTCATTTGCGGCCACACAATTCCTGTGCGGTCCATAATTTGCTAGGAAGCCTGCTGGGGTGTTCTTCATTGTTTGCGGTCGTAGATGGAATTCTGCGGTCCGCACTTTGTGAGCTTCTGCGCCTTTTATTGCTTTGTGTTTATATTACTCCTTTTTGAGTCAGACTTCATCTCGGGAGTCCAACCTCCAACATTCCTGTAATTTTGCACATTTTATCAGTTTTGGAAATACAATTCAACGCTTTTAGACTAAAACAAAAGCTAAAAGGTGCTAATATATAGTTAAAATCC